ATGTAATATGTTATGGCGTTTATGTGTGTGAAAAGAAGGACTGTTAACAAATGATGTCATCCAAAAAAAATTTCGGTGTTTTCCACCGTGTTCTTTTGTAAAGATTTTTACTCAATACTGTAAAATTACTGTTATATAAGGATGTGCAACAGAAAAAAGTTTTATCAAGTGAAAGATCTGACTTTTATTTCATAAGTCTTTATAGTTTATAGCAATGAAATCAGTTGAGACAAAGAAGCTCGAAAGTTGTTTGTTTTCTCATCGTATTCCCATTTTTTGTTGTGTTTGTGCATAAACAAGAAATATAATCTCGTCACTTCTTTTCAAACCCCTTTCTTATGTTAGAGTGGCATAATTTCAAGATTTTTACTAAAGATGTTTACTGAATATCGTAAAATTACTGTTACATAAGGACAAGTTTTATCAAGTGAAAACTTGATAAACAATCTAAAAATCCCTTTTTAAGCTTTATTTTCCGTTTTTGAAATGCACTCTTTGTGCAAATTTTCCACTAGGCATCGTAGCATCGTGACTAAAATATAAGGCTTACAAGCATATTGGGAAACGCGTTCTTTGATTTCGTTTGTCATGTGTAGGGTGAGAGAGAAGAGTATATAGTAAAATCAAAGAAAGTCACCGGGGACCATCTCAGATCGGGTCAAGGTTTTCTGAAAGGCGCATTAGATTTGGTCGGCTCTTTGACGTATTGGAAGTTTATAACAGCAGCAACAAACGATACTCGCATTTTCTTCTCATTCATGGGTAAAAGAGTGAAGGTCTTTAGGTGAAAGTATTAGGAATTATTAGCCACAACATCATTTTTATTTATTTCTGTGTGCTTTTTACCTGGCACATTATTAATTACAAATAATGATGCGGCATTTGAGATGATATTTGCAAAAATCCACGAACTTGATGGTGCTTGGGTGGTTGCGTCTAATACGAGGTCATTTAAACCAGTCAAATCTAAGTTTGACGGATCACAATATGTACCACCTGGATTGCCATAGTTGCCATAAGCGCCCGTTCATAAATGATATCAGCCAGGATGAGACGTGAGCACCAGCTAAATGGTGACGTCAACTGTTTATTTGAAAAAGCTTGAGAATGAATACAATACAAGTGTATCTTCGGGATTTTATTTCGAATGTGGAATGAAATAATAAACAGTCAGAAATGCTGTGGCTAGTAGGAAAATAACTGCTTGGAGAAAGCAAAATCTGCTTACCTTGCTTAAGTGTCCTGCAAAAAAGAGGTTGACATCACTGATAAACGGCTCATATACTTTCAATTGATATCCGTATGGTATTGACCATGATTTTGGTACGAAATTCATCGTCATTGGGTTGATGCCAGCCATCGCTATCGTACCGAGTGAAACAGAACTGAAACACTCTGTTTGACCTAACGACAGCGCAAATGTTCGATAAACACCCGTGGCAATTATTTGAAATGCGGTGCCAGTTAAACCGATACCGGAATAGAAGGTCACAATAAGAACCATAGCAACTAAGACAAATGTGCATTGAAACAGAAACTCTCTTTATATACTAAGTAGTTATATTTATTCCACGGGTATATAAATGAAGACGTTTTTTACCATCATTATACATGACTTTACTATTTGATGTATAAATACGTTTGTTCTCTACACATTTCGAGCGTGCATATTTGAAAATTGATAAATTTAACTTTGTTAAATCTTCATTGATAGAGATACCGCATTCTAGTTTTTTCTTATTCCTAACTATCATTTGACGTATACGATAACGCAAGAGGCGCACAATAATAGCACGTGGACGTTGACCCATAGAATTGTTTATTTTACCAATACGATGGCTGACACTAATATCTTCTTTATTAATATCAATATCAATTTTGGCACATATATTAATTATTAACTGATCTGTATCCTTTCCAATATCTTCTGCAATACCATTAAACCGAAGATTTGTTCTTCTATTATAGGTTGATAGATCATCAAAAGCAATTTGTAATTTACTTAATTGAATTTCTAGTTCATCAATTCTTTTTTCGAATGGCGCAATAGCTTTTTTAACGGTTTGTGAAATGCCTTTTAACATTACATCAAACTGAAGCACTTCTCTGACTAATTCTTCGATATTTATTTGAGAGTCGTTAATTGCATCAGTACCTTCTGATATGTGACTTCTTGTAGAGGTTTTAGCTGGCATGTTGACGGTAACGTACAATAAAACGATGAAAAAATTTTTAACTTACCACAAGAAACGTAGCGTGATGACAAAAAAAAGAAGTATATTAAATCGAAGAGACTGACAACGTGTTTACTGTGATTAATTATTGTGACTTCTAACATAGATGCTGACGAGAAACCCCAAAATTTGGAAATGTATTATCTGTTGTGGCTGGATGAAAATGTTAATAAAGGTCAAGATAAATACAAAATGAGTTATGCAAAGTAATTAAGTGGTTTAAAAATATTTTCGAAATCGGCCGACTGTAAACGGTACATTGAGAAAATAAAAGAAGAACTATTCGTTTTGATTATATCTGGTGGTCTGAGTCAATAACTGATACCACGTATTCATAATCTACCACAACTGAGAGCCATTTATGTCTATTGTAGTAAAGAGGACACCAAAGCGTGGACAAAAAACTATTTGAAGGTCGAATCCGTTGTAGCTAAAGAATACAAGTTGATATCAAAAATAGTCAAAGGTCAGAGTAAACTGGTACACGAGAAAAACGCTGTTGTCACGTTTCGAATCGGTACTGAAGGTGAAAATAGAGTGTGGTTTTACTGTACGGCCTGCACAAACGTTAATCTGTTACGTTTTGGTCACTATTTTTTGGACTTTTCTCGATAACTAGACGGGCTAGAGAGTTCATTCTTGCGTTGAAATATGTGACTTGGCGCTCCCGACAGGTCCTGGTGGTGTGAAGCGACTTGGCTCAAGCGTTTCGGAGAAAAAAGCAAAACAGAGGACATTGCGTCGTTACGAAAAACAGCCTTGTATTTCGGCCCACATTACATACAGGTTAAAATATCTGCCAACTGTGGCACTTTTATAAGATTCTTATATTCTTCCTTTTCTACTTTTCTCTGTATGATAATTGTAGCAAAATATTAGGACTATCAAACTAAAACAAGTTTGTAGAAAAAAAGCCTTTTCCGTTGTTGAAATAATCAAGAAATAGTCTCCGTTACGCTCATATGTTTATTCTGAGTTACTTTGAGATGATTCTCTTGGCCTGTTTTATTAACTTATATGACTTCCCAATCACTTTTTGGCCTTCTCCGTCAATAGATCTTTACATCAGACACATTAAACATTTGCTTTAACGTAAGAAGTCTAAGAGAACACTGTACCAACTCTTGAAAAATAATGATCAAAGAGACCAGAACAGAAGACTTCAATTTTTATTTTGATATTCAAAACTAGTCCAATCGCCGGCAAAATTTAGAAGTATTGGTAACTTAATGAGTTCCACAAACTGGCTGAAACGAAAATAATTTCTCAGAAAAAGTCGGTTTTCTAAAGATTGGTTTCTGAAAAACGAGTTACGAACAGCATAAAGGACGCACTGAAATTGTCTTTTGGGACGAAAAACGTAACTGCGTAATGCAGGCGTTTGATGAAAATGTAGCTTTTACATAAAAAATTTAGTACATTAGATCAATTTTTTCGTTACACTGTTACGCTTCAAATGAGATGGCTTGTGATCGGTGAATCAAATTCTTCTTATACAATACATATATATACTTTTGGGTTATTCTCTATGTTCTGTGATTTTCCTCATATGGAACTTTCTCTATTCTGTTTCTTTCCTTTCTTTTCAATGAGGGGTTTTCTCCCTATTCTGTCTGAGGAATTTCCTTTAACTCGGACATTACCATATCTAATACATTGTTCATAAACCTATATATAGTTGCTGATTTTTTATAATAAAGTGTGAGTGT